ACTGACTTGGTTGATTCAGGTAGACATAGACAAAGGGAGCCATCCATTGTGAGGTGTACACTTTTAGCCTGTAGTCATAAGCCAAATGCAGCAAGTTTGACCAGAAAAGAATGTGGAAGATGCCCTTCTCTTGCATGACAATGTAAGACTGCACACCAGTTTGAAAACAACATAAACCATCACGAACCTGCACTAGGCTGTTGCCCCATCCACCATACAGCCTCCAATGGATCCATTAGACTTAATTATCTCTCCCCCCCCCCCACACACACACACTGAAGAATGCCATTTGTGGACGAAAGTTTAGGGACACTGACAAGGTTATTGGGGAGGTGAAAACATGACTCCAACAAACCCTAGAGAATTTCTGCCTACAAGGAATACAGGCCCTCGTTTCCATAGAAAAGGATGAAGACTGTAGAAAAGTAGTGTTTGTAAATAAGGTGTGTATCTGTATGCCAAATTTCATGTTTTCTATAATTTTTTTGCTGAGAAGAAAGTGTGGGGCAACACTTTTTGAGTGATGCTTTTATTTACAATGTGGCAGGGAAACACAAAAGGCTTAAGTCCATAGTTCGCATCAAATAATGTTGGTAATGTATCTACATGTCTTGGAAGTAAGAAAATTAATATTTATAATCTCTCTCTTGGTTTTTAGGCGAGAAGATCCACGAGATGCACTTGTTTTGCACCCAAAACATGTGGGGAAAAGTCTGGAAACGTTACCAAAGGGCAGTGTTATAGGTAAGCAAAATTAGTGTGTGTTGTCACGTGAAGTTATGTTGGTTCCCATGCCGGGAATCAAACCCGGGCCTCCTGGGTGAAAGCCAGGTATTCTGGCCACTAGACCACATGGGAGACCCAATGTATTCCTGTGACACAGTGTTTGTCTTGATTTTTCAGGAACAAGTTCATTGAGGCGGACAGCACAGCTCAACAGAAGGTACCCAGACCTCAAGGTTGAAAGTATTCGGGGTAACATCAATACAAGACTGGATAAGTTAGATAATGGTGATATATTTGCAGCTATAGTCCTTGCATCTGCTGGATTATCAAGAATGGGGTGGGAGAAAAGGATAAGTCAGGTGATTTTTGAAATGTCAACTCTCATAAATGTAGCCGACAATTGTATTTATTCTTTTGAAGCTTGTGGAAGTAGTATGCAAACATTATATTTTACAATTAAATTATAAGAAAACATATGGAAATTATAGCATTGATGAGCATGGGACTAATCATTTGTTGAGCATTATAAAGGTATATGAATCTAATGTGCTAGTCTAAAGCTCTTCCCATTCCCTACATAGAGATAACAAAAACTTTGATTGAGGGTGTTTTTTATAATGATCATAAAAATTTAATATTGTTTTCATATTTAGATTCTCTGTTTGAATGAAGAAGAACCAGTTTAATGATTTTGTAATTTTCCCACAGGTTGTAGGTTATAACCAGAAAAATACAGTTCCCTATTTTAATTAACTGTTATGTAACATTGTAGTATGCAGAGAATGAAATGGTAACAGTTCCATGCTGTACTTCCAGAAATTGGAAGCAGAAGAGTGGTTATATGCTGTGGGTCAGGGAGCCCTGGCAGTAGAGTGTAGAGAAGATGACTTTGCAACTCTCAGACTTCTTCAACCATTATTTCATGGAACCACAACTTTCCGGGTGCTTGCAGAAAGAAGCTTCTTGCGTACACTTGGTGGAGGTTGTTCAGCACCAGTTGCTGTTAAGTCTGAACTAATTGGGCAGGATCTCTCTCTCACTGGGGCAGTATGGAGTTTGAATGGCAAAAAAATGCTCAAACACTCATCTTCATGTAGATTACAATATAGGGAAGAGGACGAAGATGGAGAACCGCCAAGGTGAATATGAGATTTGTGTGTTCACAGTGGTGAGTATTCATATTGCAGTTTTCATGGTTCTGGGTTGAGACATTGTGGTTTCTGATGAAGGTGGAGGCAGCATTTCTCCAAAATATTGATAACTACCTACAAGACTAAATTGTGTCACAATTCTGATGACCACAATCTGAGCATCGTGATGAACATTTTGTAAGAATTACTAAAGGTTTCTCTGTAGTGTGTTGTATCACTTTCATGTATGAAGAGCAGAGAACTTTATAAGGTAATTCAGTACCACATTCATTTATTAAATAGGTCAGGTTTGAAGTTTAGTCAGTACCCAGTAACCATAGCTACATTTCCAAAATGCATACATAGAATCGTTCAGTTTTTAATATTATTTCTTGAAAAAAGGTGTCTTAAGAGAGCCAAATGCATTTTTGGCTAGGTAGCATTGATTTAGTTGTGCTGCCAACAGTCTTGCAGATACCATATTTTTAAATACCATAATGGTATCATTAAATTTTGCATGTACAGTACCATTCACCATAAGAACTTGAAGTTTGTATTATCTTAATATATAAAATTCAGTTTGTTTGTCCAGTTTTTAAGTGAAGTATGTCCACATGTATGTACACCTGACTTCAGCATTGCTGAATACCAGTAAAGTGTCAGGCATGTTAGACTTTCCTTCACATCTAGAGAAGTTAAAGCTTAATTGTGAAGCAAGTGGGTGGAGGTAATGTAGTTAATGCCTGATGTTTGGACAAATTAGTATCTCAGTTATAGACATATAACTCTGGCAGTCTTGAAACATTCACAGAGAATGGACAAGCCAACATCACGTTGGGTGATCAGACTTCCAGAGAACTGCTGTCTTCATCATCAGGGTTGATGTGGGGAATTTATCACTGATGGAAATTTTACAGTTATTAAAATGACATTTAAAAAGTGGGATCCTCAATTTATTCTTCAGACACTAACATCCACATACTTTCTCTTCAGTGGATATTTCTACAACCAGTAATCTTGAGTAGCAGAGATCACTACTTATACTGGTAATGGTCATTTATGTCATGGAACATTTTCAACAACCTACACTTCACATATCTCCCAAAAGCCTGACAAGTTGGTATTGACTCTACTGTCTGATCATCCAGTGTGAAAATTAGGAAGAGGCATCATATTGACAAACTAATAAAAATATCAGGAAGAAGAAACACATATCTTTGTGTGTGACAGGAAAAGATTAGAAGATGGCATCTTACAGTTTATGATCGAGTTGTGTCTTTGCTGGCAATTATATTACAGCTTTTACTTGTTTTTGCAGTTATGCATACATGAACATAAATTCATTCTGAACTGTACATATCCCCCCCATGTAAATTAACATCTAATTATTACTTTAGTTATTAGTTTCTTTGAAATCTTTTTTTTTTTGGGGGGGGGGCCATGCCTGAAGGCACATGTTTTAATGACTTGCTATCACTGGTATAGACCACATGGTTCCAAAAATATCTACAAGATATCCAAATAAGCAAATTCTTAAAGTTTTGTGACCAATTATTGGCTGACATTTATTGCTCTAACAAAAGTGGAGTTGTCAAGTGGTGTATTGTACAAGAATATTATTTTTCCTTCCTCCAAATGTGATATAAAGGTATGAAAAACATTATACAGGAAGTGTTGCATTGTTGAATGAAAATAATCAAGAAAGGAATCTGGAAGGACAAAGTTTGAAGTAAATAAACTCTGTTGTGTTATCTAGGAAGTGTCCCTACCGAATGCCGAAGTTATTCTGTGGTATATCACCAGGGAACTTGACATACCGAGATCTGGAAGAAGCAGAGAAATTGGGTGAAGATGTAGCATATCAGTTGGTGAAAGATGGAGCACTAGATATAATGAATGAAGCAAGAAATCACAATGAGACCACAGCAAGTTAAATTCCACGCAGGTAATAGTGCTTGATGTATACAGAATGTCCCAAAAAGATGTGTACAAGTTATAATACAGAGTATTAATCTTGTTGGTCAGTTTCTGACCGCTGCCAGCTCCACAAAGCTAATGGTGGTCATTTTGAACACCTACACTAAATTTGCTAGTTTACTAAATGCCAGTGCTGACATATCTAATGGTTTAGTTTATTAAAATATCTATATTTTATTCATTAATGTGTATATACAACTTTTTGGGACACTATACATGCACAAATATGCACACATTTTTCATCAAAGCATCTCTGTGTCTGTCCTGTATTCTGCTCATTATTCAAAATTGTGAGTTTTCCTCATCAGATTTTCAAATAATTTTATCTAATAGCTGAAAATGTAAGCCACAGTTGAACATTATGAATGAAAAGTTCCTTCAGGCTCACATTTTATCATATTGTAACGTGGGTCGGCGTTGCGACCTGGATTGTCAACCCTGATTTATT